GCAGGTGCAGCCAACTCCGTCAGTTTTCGCGGAAATCGCAAACATCTGCAGCCTACTAGATAGGATCAATAAGCAGGAACTCGCCGTATTGTCCAGTAAAATAGCGGCCGCCACATCTGGCAACGAGCGTCTTAGGGCAATTAGCCAACATAAAACGCTTGTGGAAGCCCTTTGGGCTTTTACGAGCCAACCGTAAAAGACAATAGTCCGCGCAATAAAACCGCGCTCCGCCGCGTCGTTAATTAGACCCATAAAAACACCTTAATGGGAAGTACAACCGCAGGTAGAACAAAACCTCGGGCTCTGGTTGTTTCGTATTTCAACGCAAACGGCATAAAGGGTCAAAGGGACGAAATCGCGGAATTCCTTCGCGACTACAACGTAGATATTTTCCTAGTGCAAGAGACATTCTTGAAACCTAGTGTACGCGATCCCAGAATCGCAAATTACAATATTGTCCGCCACGACCGGTTAGCAAACCGTCTGGGAGGCACATTAATTTATTATAAACGGTCCTTGCACTGTTGCCCGCTCGACATTCCAGAGCTAAGTCAAATAGAGGCATCCGCGTGTAGGTTAGCGCTCACCGGCCACAGGCCGCTTGTACTAGTCTCAGCCTACCTCTCGGGGAATAAAACCTTACTTCAAAGCGACCTAGATACGCTTCTTAACTTAGGCCCTTCCGTGATAATTGCAGGAGATCTAAACTGCAAACACGGCTCATGGGACATCCACAGCATCCCAAATAACAACGGAAAGCATCTCTTTAGCTTATCCGATAACCTAAACTTTAGCATAGTCGCTCCCGCGACTCCCACTAGGTATCCTACGGTGGACAACTACCAACACGCGTCACCGAGTGTCCTAGACATCATGTTATTCAGGGAGGTCTCGCTCGACATCGAGTCGATAGAGACAATCCATGAACTAGACTCAGACCACAGGCCCGTCCTGTGTAAACTGGGCCAGAACGCCGGCGCGGTCCCTCCGACCAAATCCGTAGTGGACTGGCATCGTCTTGAGGTCAAACTCAAGGCCTTGGACCCCCAGGACTTAATGGACTTACCCGAGACGATAGCTACGTTCGATGACGCAAATCGAGCGATAGCAAGTCTCCGAGAAACTATTACTTCCGCAGTCACAGACTCGGAACGGACGGTGAAACTGTCGGGTGACCGACGATTTAACTTTCCGCCCGACCTAAGACTGCTAATTAGACAGAAAAATGCAGCCAAACGCGCCTTCGACCGATACCGATCGGAATCGAACCGAACCCTACTTCGACGCCTTCAGCTAGAAGTCAAAGATCGTGTATCGGAACACCGACACACAACGTGGGACACTCTCCTAGAGAACATCGAGCCATCGCACACCGCCTACTGGCGGTTGGCCCGCAGTCTGAAAGCAGACCACCGCGAATCTCTACCGCCGTTAGTTAGACCTAATAGCGCTTCAGTAGCCCTAGATGACTCCGAAAAAGAAGAATGCCTTGCGGACAACCTAGAGCAGCAATGTACGCCATCGCGCGAACACACCGATTCAGTCCACCTTACGGAGATGGACCACGTAATTGGGACTAGGGCTGCGCTTCCACCGGAAGGCGAACCTTTAAATTCAGTGACCCCCGAAGAGGTCCAAGATATTATTAAAAATTTAAAACCAAAATCCGCCCCGGGCCCAGATAATATAAGTAATAAAATTCTCAAAGCTCTCCCTGGGCCGCTTATCTGTTTACTGGCGACCATTTTCAATACCCTTCTCTCCAGTTGCTCCTTTCCGGACGACTGGAAGCAAGCCACGGTTATCGGCATTCGCAAGCCGAATAAACCAGCTAATCAGCCCTCTAGCTATCGTCCCATCAGCCTCCTCAGTTGCCTGGGGAAGCTCTACGAGCGGCTCTTGTTAAACAGGCTCAAAGAGCACGTATTTTCCAACGGCCTTCTGCCGACGGAACAATTCGGCTTTCGAGCTAGACACTCATGTTATACCGCCAGTTATACCGCCTAACGGAGCACATCCTAAAAGGCCTAAACCACCCCAAACACATCAGCACAGGGGCTCTCTTCTTCGATGTCGCAAAAGCATTAGACAAAGTCTGGCACAACGGCTTGCTTTACAAGCTGTACACACTCAAAGTGCCAGATAGGCTCGTACACACCATCCGGGCCCTTTTTGTTGAATCGCTCTTTTCGATATCGAGTCGAGGGCACCCTCTCCACAAGCCGCCGCCTCACGGCCGGCGTACCACAAGGCTCCTGCCTCTCACCTTTGCTCTTTACGCTCTACACGAGCGATATACCCTAAGACCCCCACGTCAATCTCGCGCTTTTCGCCGATGACACCGCGCTCTTTTATTCAGACCGCAACCTTAGAATACTAACCACTCGACTCCAAAGCGCCGCCGACCGCCTCGGCGATTGGTTCCGCAAATGGAGAATAGAAATAAATCCCGAAGAGTGTGGCGATTCCTACCCGTCACATCTTTATAATGGCCCTCGCCAATGCAGAAAGTTGGGGCAAATATCCCTTTATGGCCAACCGCTCCCCTGGGAGAAAAAGGTCAAATACTTAGGAGTCACTTTCGATTCGCGTATGTCATTTACTACGCACATTAATAACGTTCATAATAGAGCCGCGTTCGTCTCCGGCCGGCTACACAATTTAACTAACGCTAAAAGTAAAATGCCCTTAAGGCACAAATTACTAGTATATAAGACCTGCGTACGACCTATTATGTCCTACGCATGCATGATCTTCGCCCACACGCACCCTACTCGCTTGTACAAGCTGCAAATAGTACAAAATAAGTTCATCCGCCGTGCAACCGGTGCGCAGTGGTATCAACGCAACGTCGATCTGCACAGCGATTGCAGACTCCCGACGATTCGCGAATATTTTAAAGACCTGACCAAACGGTTCTTCGATAGAGTCCAGCATCATCCCAACCCTCTGGTGGTAAGCGCAGCAAACTACCAACCGGACACTAACGCGAACGTAAACAAGCGTCGCCCGCGAAACGTCCTCATCGACCCGGTCGACGAAGAGGACTTAGATACGATGGACCCACCGCCGGGGGTCCCGCCGAATAACACTACACCCACAGTTAGTGTAACAACAATCACACCAGTACGCCCTCGCCTCCGAGCACGGCGAGACCCACACAACGCGTACACAAGGTACACCTGCGTTCCGGGCCGATTTTCACCGCTCCCAGCCACCGATTAGCTAAATGCACAGTCGACGGCCGTCGGGGTCTTGGTCCGAACCGCGACCTCGACGGCCCTTAGATGACACACCATAATTAAACGCACGCATGAGCACATGCGCGACCCTACCCATAGCGGAGGGTCCAAACCCGTGGGTTCTGGCTAGCCCACCGGTTCTGCGTCCGATGAAGCTTTAATAGTCTCGGGACTGAAAGCAAAAACATCAGTTAATACAAGATACAAGATACAAGGAAGACGAAAGCACTCTTAAATAAGTTTTTTTTTTGAGGTGATTATTTCAATATAATATTCATCTTTCATTTTCATGTTCTTTTTCCATACCTAGTAACCACTCGTGCTCAATATTAGCTTAATCGATTTTTTTATACTTTACCGGCCTTTTTACAATCAGTCATTAAGTTTTTTTAATTTTCTTGTCATCAAGGCTGAACATGGATAATCGTAAGTCTAAAGGTACTGGTTCTAATACAACTTGTCAAGATTACAGCTTGCAAGATTCCACCTAAACTAGCTTTCACAATTGCTTTTTTTTTTTAATATTGCCCTTACTTTAGGATAACATTATTCAGTGTTGTAGGGATGTTTTACAAACATAAATTTCACGAGGACTTACAGGAGGAGGAATTAGAAAAAAGGGATACATGCTAAAATAAATAAAATAAAATAAACGCCTTAATGTAAAAAAGACATTTATGTTTACTTAAAAAAGTTTACTAAATTAACTGTGGTAACGCAATGACATAAGAAACAGAAACAAAAATTATTTAATAAATAACCTAAAGTATTCTATTTAACTAACATAAATAACTTTAAAGCTGACTGTTGTTATACATTCTGTAATTGCAATTAAAACCTTAAAAGTTAATACAAATTACAAAAATCATAAATAAACACGAAATCTAAGACAAAAACAATGTAGACTGAAGCAAACATATTTAAATTTTTTTTATTACATGAAAAAGTTATAAAGGCCATGAATTTTACTACAGGCGAAACAGAAATCGTAATCTCATTACAATTTTATTTAAAATAGTTGATTCACTAAAATTATTAAAACTTTTATGACACAAATAATCAAACGATTGAACTTGATTCCAATTGGGGACCACAAACCCATAACTCACCCTTCTGAAGGACCTCCGCTTGTTCGAAAACTAGTTGGTAAATACGCCAATTGGATGTGACTGCAGCAGTTTAATTATTTCATGAATCCACATTTGATTATAAATTACTCCTTAATCCAAACATGCAAGTATCATAAATTTGATAAAATCAACCAAAAAAAAATAAGAAAGAAAAGTAAGACTACAATGTCTTTTATCTCATATTATGCATATATTCATTAGTATGAGCCTATCCCATGGGAATGCCTTACAACATAATTAACAATGAAGAGTTTTATGCGACAATAACAATTTACTGTGAAGAGAAAATATTTTATTTATATTCTCAGAATTATTTATAAAGATTATATTTAAATATTTATCAAATTCTTTAGTGTCGTCACTTAACATATTTAAAAATTTACAGCATAATAGTGTTTAAAGAAATCATTGCAGCAATATTTATTTAAAATACATAAAATTATATTCGAACTTCAATTAAATGTTTTCCGAATTTAATTTTTACATTGCGTATGAATCACTTATTGTTCATTACTATTTAAGAAACTTACTATTACAGAGTTAGTTTTTCTAAGAATAAATTTGCACGTTTAACGTTTTTTTTTTTCGAAAATTAAAAAAAAACTGAGTTTCAAGATAACAATTTTTAAATTAAATTAACATCTTGCTGGACAATTAAGACTTCTTTTTGAAGATTCCCGGATCCAATTTTGCAGTTTGACATCACTTGCAACCCCTCCATTCTGAAAAAAGTATAGGTAAGAAAAAAGTATAATTGTGGGATTTGAAAGGGGTGATAAAAAAGTCACACAAAATTTAAATGCAAACAAGTAAAATTTGCAATAAGAATTCTGTGATGTACCAAGAAAAGAATCATACAAGGGGCGGTCAAAAGTTTCGCGGAATTTCAAGAAAAGAAAATGAAAAGCCACATAAATAAATAAATAAATTTTTGTGGGTGGTAGCCATCGCAATGTGGCTCTTGTGAACTGACGCGTTGTTTTCCTAGATGGCATTATTTAGTTTTTCGAGTAAACTGGCGTAGTATTCTTCGTTGATATTGAGCCCCTTCTTATGTAAGTGATTAACAAAATAATGGCAAAGATCACGAAACTTGGGGACAAAAAACGGTGCGGATGTATCTTTTTTTATGCCACTGCATTGTCCCGCTTTGACTTAGGGTCATAATGATGAATTCACATCTCATCCCCTGTAACGATTTGGTTCATTAACTAATCTCAGAGATCTCTAAAGAGATCAAAAAACTCCTGCAAGCACTAGACGCGCTGTTGCTTTTGAAGCAGTGTCAGCATTCTCGTCCATCATTCTCACCACATATCTTACGCTGACCTTTGACATACAAGGATGATATCAGATGATACATCCAACCATTTCTGTTAAGCGCTTCTAATGTTTGAGGCTTTTTCAGCGTAATCGATATTAGGGCTGCGCTTCCACCGGAAGGCGATCCGTGAGTTCTGTGACTCCCGAAGAGGTCCAAGACATTATTAAAAATTTAAAACAGAAATCCGCCCCGGGCCCAGATAATCTTATCAGTAACAAAATTCTTAAAGCTCATCCTGGGCCGCTTATCTGTATACTGGCGACCATTTCCAATACTTTATTCTCCCTTTGCTCCTTTCCGGGTGACTGGAAAGAAGCCACGGTTATCGGCATTTGCAAGCCGAATAAACCAGCCAACCAGCCCTCTAGTTATCGTCCCATCAGCCTCCTCAGTTGCCTGGGGAAGCTCTACGAGCGGCTTCTATAAAACAGGCTCAAAGAGCACGTGTTTTCCAACGGCCTTCTGCCGGCGGAACGATTCGGCTTTCGAGCTAGACATTCCTGTCCCGATCAATTATTCCGCCTAACGGAACATATCCTAAAAGGTCCAAATCACCCTAAACATTCGACAAGGTCTGGCACAACGGCTTGTTTTACAAGCTATACACACTCAAAGTGCTTGTACACACCATCCGGGCCTTCCTGTCGAACCGCTCTTTTCGATATCGAGTTGAAGGCACCCGCCAGCCGCCGCCTCACGGCTGGCGTACCACAAGGCTCCTGCCTCTCACCTTTGCTCCTTACGCTCTACACGACCGATATACCTAAAGAACCCACGTCAATCTCGCGCTTTTCGCGGATGACACGGCGCTCTTTTATTCAGACCGCAACCTTAGTCAACTAACCACTCGACCCCAAAGCGCCGCCGACCGCCTCGGCGATTGGTTCCTCAAATGGAGAATAGAAGTAAATCCCGAAAAGAGTGTGGCGATTCACTTCACACGAAGTACTTACCCGTCACATCTTTATAATGGCCCTCGCCAATGCAGAAAGTTGGGGCAAATATCCCTTTATGGCCAACCACTCCACTGGTAGAAAAAGGTCAAATACTTAGGAGTCACTTTCGACTCGCGTATGTTTATTATTCTGCGTCAGATGAAGCTTTAATAGTCTCGGGACTGAAAGCAAAAACATCAGTTAATACAAGATACAAGAAGGCTTCTTCAATCGGCCGACCTGTGCGGTTATCGTCTTCAATTGAATGTCTGCCTTGAATGAATAGGCCACGCCATTTGTAAATTGTGGTTTTCCCAAGGCAAGAGACCCTGTAATCCAATGCCATCTCTTCCATGATGATCTGTGGCCTGTTTCCAGCTTAGGGAGTAACATTATGACAGAGCAAAACTCAGTTTTCTGTACAGGTGAAATTTTCTTCCCGATGGAATTTTTGATTTGCCGATAACTCGAACAAAAGAGTGGCAAAACTTGGTATTTATGTGAAAATAAGTCATCAAGTAGTCCTAGGTTAGGTAACCACAGGAAACAATTCTTGTCTCTTTGTAACCCATTCATTCCGCGAACTTTTTGAGCGCCCCTTGTAGCTATCTTTTATTATAAGCAAATATTATATAAAAAAAGGTACTCACTCGTTAATTTTGCTGCAACCATTGGTATCTACTTCACATCGGATGCATTGCTCAGAGCAGTTACTTATAATAGTGCTATCCAATTTCACATGTGAGCCTGAATACATTTGGATGCCGACACCACACTGCTTTAATACACACCTCCTTAGTTCAACCTTGAATGGAAACAGTGATTTTATTAATCTAACTTAAAGGCATCGACCACTTGTGATCATCAGAGGAGACAAATAGTTTTCACTGTTATATTGTGTTTA